TTCAATGAAGTCCCCTGTAATCGGTTGCGTAAATTGGTTACAAATCGAAATAGATATGCTGTAACCCGTATCAATTTGTCCATGTTGAAATGTCGTTCGGGAGATTCCATGTAGTGACATTGTCGGTAAGATGCACCGACGGCCGAGGAGGATTCCTCCAGTAAAGCGTTAATCGATATGTCTTTGCTTGTCGATTGAATTGGCCACGTCGAAGAATGAGTGCGGAGCCAGGACGGTCCAGAAAACCACAAAGAGTGATTCATAAATTCGGTAGCAGACAAGCCGCGCGAGGCGCAATCTGCCGGATTCTCAGCTGATTTGACATGATGCCATTTAATTGTGGGAAGAGTGGTTTGGATTTCCGATACGCGAGTGGCGACATAAGTACGCCACCTTGAAGGGTGTTGAGTTATCCAAGCTAGGGTAACAGTGGAGTCCGTCCAACCGTACACAGGAACGTTTGACAGATTGAAAGACCGATAAATCCATTTAATCAGTCGACTGAGTAAAACTGCTGCGTTGAGTTCAAGTCTAGGGATACTGAGCGTCTTAAGAGGCGCAACCTTGGTTTTAGCGCATAGCAACGTAATCTGAACGTCGTCAAAGGATCTGAGAACGCGCAAATACACCATAGCGGCGTACGCACGCTTTGATGCGTCGGCAAAACCATGTAGTTCCATTCCTAAATTATCTCGATGCGAACCTGTCCATCGTGGAATTTTAATTGTTTCGAGCTTGGGTAAATCAGAATAGTATGAAATCCAGTGCTGGAGAAGATCAGGGGGGAGCGGATCGTCCCAGTCGATTTTTGCGAGCCAGAGCTCTTGAAGCAAAATTTTAGCCGTAATTACTACGGGCGACGCCCATCCGAGTGGGTCGTATAGCTTTGCAATCAACGACAAGACTGAGCGTTTTGTGTTCGCACCAGAGGTGCCAGAAGATACCTTAAAACAGAATGAATCAGTGTGCGGCGACCAAGACAGCCCAAGCACCTTCAGTGAGTCATCGCTTTTAATAGCGAGATCCGATTGCCGCCTATCAAGCGGAATGTCTGCCAGCAACTCCGAAGAGTTTGCAGTCCATTTGCGTAGATCAAACTGGCCACGCTTCATGAGCGCAATGAGTTGATCTCGAGTTTTGATGGCGTCGGAGATTTCATCCGCGCCGAAGAGAGTATCATCAACGTAGATTGAGTCGCGAAAAATCGTTTGTGCGAGGGGGAACTCGTGCCCGTCCTCCTCGTTTAGTTGTTGCAATACGCGCATGGCTAAATATGGAGCACAAGCGGTGCCGTATGTAACGGTATTTAATTGGTAGTGATTGATATGTGCACAACCCGGGGGTTGCCACAGTATTCGCTGATAATCTCGATCTTCATGATGGACCGAGATTTGTCTGTACATTTTCGCTATGTCAGCTGTGTACACGTATTGAAATAATCGCCAGCGAAGAACTATTGCGGCTAAATCTTGTTGGAGTTTTGGACCGATCATAAGATGGTCGTTTAATGAAGTGCCGTTTGATGTACGGCAGGAAGCATTGAACACCACGCGTAGTTTCGTGGTGGTACTGTGTTCGCGAAGGACAGCATGATGCGGTATGTAAGCCGCGTCCGAAAGATTAGAAGTGGAGGGTTTGATCTGGGTCATGTGACCCAGCTCCTCGTAATCTGCTAAAAACGCATGATAGAGCGTTCTAATTTCAGACTGTCGTGACAGCCGATTTGTTAATTTGGCGTGAAGCACTGAAGTGATTTGAAATGATTCACCTATACTCGGCGGTGAGCCATTCTTAAACGGCAATCGTACCACGTAGCGGCCATGTACGTCGCGCTTGTGAGTTGCAGCAAAATGTTGCTCACAACGTTGTTCGTCCTCCGTTAGCGGAGGCTTGGAATCAGAAATTGTCTCGTCTGTCCAGAATTGTTGGATGACGGGAGCGAGGTCGTCTTCAACGACGCAATTGTGAACGTCAGCCGGAGGATGAGTTGCATCCGTGGGGCCTGTTGGTCCGGAGAGTATCCAGCCGAACAGAGTGGACTGCGCTGTCGGGGTCCCAGGCGGGCCATGACGAATGTCACCGATTAGCAGAGCACCGTATAAATCGGCCCCGATTAGTAAATGAATTTGGTGGGCGCTCGACGGATCAGGATCTGCAAGTTGCAATCCGCGCAAATGTGGCCATGAATTTATTTCCCGGATCTGAGAGGAAGCGTATGAAGTGATTTTTTCATAGGCGTATGCCCATAACGAGACGGATTTTCGCGGATTGAAACTTGGAGAGAGAGATATGTGAACCCGCGAGCGAGCCGACCCGCTGTATTTTTCCCCGAAGCATCGAATCTGCAGATTAGCGCGTTGACGCCTGGTTCGCAACGTTTGACATAAAGATTCGCTTATGAAGCTGTATGTGGATCCCTGATCCAGAAGGGCACGCACCAGTGTAGTACGTCCTTCTTGTGTCCGCACGATTACCCACGCAGTAGCGAGGAGAATATTCGCAGGCGAGCGCGTTTTCGGCGATACGGATTGTACCGTAGCTGTGACGGGAGACGCCCTTTGTACGAGTGTCTCTGATTTCGTGTCGGGTAATTGCTGAGACGCGTCATCCTTCGATTCGGCTTTAAATAATTTATGTAATGTCGTGTGATGTCGTTTCTGACATCGTAAGCATCGACCTCGTGACATACAGACGTTCGCGGAATGACCTTTCCGGAAGCAATTTCGACACAACTGTTTCTGGTCGATAAAATTAATTCGTTGATCTATCGATCGTGCGAGAAATTTATCGCATTTCGAAAGCCAATGAGTTCCGGAACATTCAACGCAGTTTAATGTAATTACATTATTGACGGTACCGCGCGGTTTTCCATTGCGAGAATTGGACGCCGAATTTTCTATTGACATGCCCTGATCGGTCAGTCCACGGATGCGTACGGTCATAAAATCATGAATTTCTTTATAAGTCGGGCATTCCGACAGGCTACCACATTTTAAATTCCATTCGGTTTTAGTTTTAGAACTAAATTTGCGTGATATCAAATAAACGAGTAGATCATCCCATGATTTGACCGGCCGATCAAGGCTGTCTAAAGCAGCGAGAGATGCTGCTACTGAGTCGCGAAGTTGGCGTAATTCCGCGGCGGTTTCCGATCGCATTATCGGGAGTTCCGCAAATGCATGGATGTGAGATTGAATGATCGCAAACTTATTGTCGTATTCGTCGGTTAGCAGTTGCCACGTAGCAGCATAGTTTTCATCCGCAATTCGAATATTCGCTATTAATCGCGCTGCGTCACCGGTGACACTTGTTTTTAAATAGTGTAATTTTTCTGTATTTGACAGACAATCGTTATTAGTCACTAATGACTCGAAAATACCTTTAAAATTTTCCCACTCCGTAAATTTGCCGGAGAATTTAGGCAATGAAATGCGCGGCAAATGTATCGGACGACGCGTGTCGGAATCAAAAATAGACGATCGATCGCTCGTATTATGCGTAGGAGGGGTTGGACTTAGCTTTTTGATGGCTTCGTTGATCAGGTCCACGGTGACGTCATACGTTTCTTCCGCAGCATAGAATTCCTCCTTGACGAAGTATGGAAGTTCGCTTTTTTCCTTGGGCGTGACTGCATGCAGAATCCTCACATGAATAGCCTTGCACGATGACCATTGATCGTGAAGCTTCTTCAATCGGCTCTCCAGTTTGATTACAGTTGTCTGTGCTTTGGACAGCTTCTTGACATTCACCAAACTGCGATTGATCGCGTCGATGGTGAATGATTGTTCCGTGAGCAGAAAATCAATGGACTCTGTCATTGTAATAACGTAGATAAGAGTCAACTGATTTGATTGGAAGCGATAGTGCACCGCAGGTAGCGAGGGATGCGGCGGCCGATCAGCGGCGCTTCACTTGCTTAATATTTGTTGTTCCGGTGCAACAGCACTCACCGAATGGCGTGTAATATCGTGATACTCATTTACTGAGAGATAGCCAGCTCCGGAGCACTGTTTCATGCACGATAGGTGTTGATCGCCACTGTAGGGCACTGGTATTGTCGCCAGTGTTGTTTCACGTGGGCACTGTGTGATTGTGCGCACGGCTAGATGGGGCGCGCACGTGTTTACTGGCGTGGGTCGCACGTGATTTGCGAAGTCCGAGGAATGTTTCAGATAATGCCGACGACTATGTAATGCCGCAATTTTTTGAGAATTGCACTGTACACTGTACTATATGATAAGGTTCAGCTTGCAGTCCAATAACGCCAAGAATCCGGCTCGAAGGACCAAAAAAAATGTTCGCGAGATTTTTTATGCACGTTGCGTGGTTCTCTTGATCGAGAGTGAGCTTGCGTTCTCTTTCCGTATCGCGAACGCTTTTAATTATGGATTGTTTTTTGGGATCTTGAGATTGGCGGTTAAGGAGAGAGGCAAAGCCGATGTTCACTAAGCACCGTCACGTATTTTATTGTACAGAAGCACAGAATAATGGATACTGATTATCGGAGCGGAGCGTGATCTCTCGCTGCCGGTCGTCGTCGGACTGACTCACAAACACCGTGCCTCGGCGAGGTCTCGGCGAGAGAGCGAGAACAAAAGCCAATTTCTGACAAACAAAATTCCTGAGCTCGCACATACAATACGAAGATTCGAGAATCGTTCTCGAATATGATTTTCAATTAATGATCGCAGAAATCAATAAGAGTTTCCGCAACAAGCTCGAACCTTGAATTTTGTCTCAAATATTCAAAAAACAAGAAATAAGAAATGTAGACTATTTTTACCATTTGTTTTTGTCCTTCCTCATTAGTTTTTAATGCGATGTCGAAATCAAGTAATTTTGTAAATTTCTTGAAAGGTTTGTTCGGAATAAGAGAAAAAGTACTACTACAGCTTGAACCAGATGCTGAGAGCAGTGGAAGCGAATTATTTGTACGCTCTAATTGCTTTAAAAATGCATTTTGTTGTTCCAATAATTTTTTAATCGCAATCGTGTTTTGCAGGATTGAAACAATATTCTGACTATCTGAAATATAAATTTACAAATTATATTACTATAAACAAAAGAACAATAAATATGAATGATTACCTGCTGGAAAATTTTCAAAAATGATATCGGTTGGTATCATATTATTTACTGGATTAACAGCATCTTTAGGATCTAAATAATGGAAATTTTTAGTATCATTATTGTATTTATTTAATATTAAATTAATAAATTAATAGACACTATATATATATTAAGCGGGATTACTTAAAATCGACTTGTATTGTTTAATACCTTATTGTACCAAAAATTATTTGTTTATACCTTCATCAGAAGTTACATGGTCTTCAGAGGCAATATTATTCTTTTTATTTTGACTCACGTTTATTGCTGTTTCATCCATATTTTCGATATCCTTGTCCAAGTTTTGGTTATCATCATTAATCAAATCTAAATGTATAAAAAATTACACTATTAAGCATTACTTTATTTGCAAGTTAAAAAAATAATGTTAAAGATTTATAAAAATAATATATATATTTATTTATTGTTATATCATTTGTCAACTGTTCATTTTCTAAATGCAAATCCATGACAGTCATTAACGGAGATGGTGTCATTCGCGGATTTGAATCGTCATCATTTAAGTTGTTTGCTGTAACTGGTTGGAATGTTTTCTTTTTTCTTTTCCCTCGGCCTAATTGCGAACATGATGTATCTGATGTATCGGTTCGAATTTTTTTATGTACAACATCTATAGCTTCCTTATATGAATCTGTAATTACAAATTATTTTATTAATTGTCTATATATATACATACATTTGTATTACATGATTTATATAAGTCTTTTCCATAACCGTATTCATAAATATTGGGAAGTTATGATTTGATATATTAAATACGAAAAAGTCATTTTTTTAATATAAAACATGTTTAATTAAGATATTATCTTATTATATACTATCAATATTTTTATGACAATACTTACTACTTTGAAATATTAGTTGCACTATGTATTTTTGCCAATTGTCTTTTGGGGGTTCTTTCCGTAATATATATTTCCTAACATTTTTTTCCGGCCATTTACACATTATTTGATCATTTGTAAATGTCATCCATGAGGTTGGTACAACTTCTACAGCGTTTGATTGGCCTTCTATATTGATAAATTCAATCACTGACCAAGTCTGCAAAGCATATAAACCATTTAATTTTCAATTAATAAACATTATTATAATGTTATAATATGATATACTCGTACCTACTAAAAAATACCTAAACTATTATTTGCAATTATATTATATTTTATATTATTCTTGCATATGAATCAATGGCATGATGCTAAAACCATCGTCGTAAGGAAATTTCACACATTTCCCTTTAATGTCGTGAATATTGACTGTGTACAAATCATATGACAAATGTTGTGTTTGCTGAATATTAAATAATTCTGAGGAACAAGGTGAACTGAAAAATGGTTTTGATTCAATGAATTTTCTTCCCTTTAAAAAGATTTCTGAAGTCTTGATTTCTTTATAAATACTTTCGACACAAAATACACAATTGTTTTTTAACATAACGCAATTATCTTTATCACATGTGCTTAGTTCAAACTTTTCAATGATTACTGTTTTGTAGAATATAAAATCTTGTTTATGAAATTGATCAGTACATTGCTGACGTAAAATTGGATACGTTTTTTCATTATCATTGTTTTGCATATATTCTTGTTCTTTTAACCTATTACAAATTTGTTGTAAAGGATTTCTTGTAGCTTGAATTGTTTTTTTTATCTCAAATAAATAATTTTCATATTTAAAACAACTGAAAGTGTCAAGTGGACCATGTTGCAAGCAATCTATGGGCAAATGTATAAGGCCATGAACATTATGAGTAATATATTCTTTTCCGTAAAGTATTGCATATTTTTGAACAAAGTATTCGAGTAGTTTCAATGAATAATTATTATAAATTCTGTATAATGCAGGACTGCATAAAATTCGAATAGCGCAGGATAAGGCCATGAAATGTGTGTATATATTTTTGTTTGCAATCTTTTTTAAAACAATTGGTCCGGTGTATAATAAAAATTGCCTTAATTCAGTGGCTTTATAGTATTCAATGTCCTCTAAACTTCTTGGCAAGCGTGGAAAATCTTTCGGCACATAATTCTTCAAAAACAATAATTGATTATTAATATCATTTTTATCAGTCTCGGGTAAACGATGATTTTTTTTCCCTCTTATCCAAAACATAATTAATCTTTTAACTACGCCTAGAAATACAAGATGCATGCCATCGAGAGGAACTTGAGATACGAAACCAATATTTAGCTTTTCGAAAGGACTTGTATCTTTATGGAATTCCTCATCTAATTTATTTCTGATACTGAAATCAGTCCGCAATTGTGCATTTGTTTGTAAAAAAGTCATTCTTCCATTAACAAAGGTCCCTTCTTGAATGCATTTTGTGCAGGCATTATAGCCTGTATGACCTTTAATACATAAAATAAATGATTTTGCAGGAGCATCACAAAGAAGTTTACCAACCTTTACTTTTATTATTTTTTTATTTATGTTAAAACCATTTTGTTCTAAATGTTTGAACTCTGTTATAAACTCAGTTAAAAATTGGTCTACATAGGCTGGTTTCTTGTGTCCGTGATATATCCCAGCCGCAAAAGGTTTTTTAATATTTTTATCAACCAGATTTAGATCTATGGAGATAAGAATAGGCCAGAGTTGACTTTTTGAAGAATTAGATATCGGTAAACCATCAATGTTTATGTTAAGAGGTAATACTATTTCTACATTTTGCATCAAATGTTTTTGCATATTTAAACTATTATTAATTATCCTACGTAGTCCATTCTCTATGCCAATGTGACAATAGAAACCTGGAGGAACACTTTTAAGTTCATATGGACATGAACTTGGTGTTTTTAAAAGAGTTCGCGAGTCTTTTGCTAATTGTGGAAATATCACTCGTAGAATACCCAACAATTCATTCATGGCAGATTGACTAAGCAAATGTCTGTATTTTAAAAACCATTGTTTCACAGCGTTAACTATGAAATCATTTACAATAGGGAGATTATTACATAAATTTTCAAATGATAAAGAAGTATCTGAACAGTTAATTTCTTCAATCACATCAATATATTCCAATGGTTCAATCTCAATTTTTTCTGGAATCTCGGGAATCACATTATCATGGTTTTCACATTGTTCTTGTTTTTCATTATGTTTCTTTGCAGTATCTACATTTATATTTGTAGTATTTACATTTATGACAGTATCTACATTTATAATTGTTTTTATGTTATTAGGCAAATTATTCGTCTGAATTAATTGTCGATTCAACTGCAAGATGTGTATTAATTCTTTTTTTACCATCCGTCTCATATGACGTTTTGTAACAAAACATTTTTTTATTTTAGCCATTATTGTTTTAATTTTTATGTCAGTATTGCTATTATTGACTTGATAAAAAAATCACTGAAAAAATTAAAATCATTCACATGAGATGCTCATATAGTTAATACGTAGTTTTTAAGATTTTATGGTATTTAACGTTATTAAAATAATATATATATACACAATATATACTTACATGGCAGGAATCTCGAACGTCACCAACAGGCAGATCCATTGCTTCCAGTTATAAATAAAGATGAATTTAAAATTTAATTATAAAACGACTTATAAAACCTCCAATAAAGCCCAACAAACACAATTGTCTTATTATTATATTTGGGTATTCTTATTCACATACGAAAGCTCCTGAGACGAAACGCCGCGCTCCCTAGTTACGCGTATCAACTC